AATTCATGTACCAGCTATATTAATCTCCAAATATCTTGATGATTCATTTCGTCCTGTTTTTAATCGTGTTGCACGAAAAACAATCTATGTTAATAGTTTAGATCTTGTGAAACAATTAGAAAACCATGAAACACAAGGTCATCTATTGTCAACTACAAAATTTATTACAGCTGATGTAAAAAATCTTTATACAATGATACCTAAAGGTGGTGCATTAGATGCTTTATATCGATTTTGTGTTAAACATGGTAAAAATGGCAAAATTGGCAATTTATCTGTCAATACCATTATCCGATTGGCATGTCTTGTGTTAGATACCAATTGTTTTGTATTTGATAATAAATATTACAAACAAATTCGTGGTGGTGCTATGGGATCACCATTTACAATGACATTAGCCAATATCTATATGTATGAATGGGAACAATCCTTAATTCAACATCAACAAATAAGAAATGAACTCTACGGCTGGTAATTTATTTTCTTTTCAAAAACAAAAAGACAATATGCGATGTATCACCGTTTTTTCATTGTAGGTATATCGATGACATATATATGACGTCAAATGAACCTATTGAAAACATTAAAGCATTACTTGATCGCGAAAATGAAAAAGATCCAAATATTCGTATTACTTATACAATTCATGAATCTGTTGAATTTCTTGATGTCTTAATTGAAAATAATCAAGCACAATTAAAAACATCAGTTTTTCGTAAATCAGCTGCCGAACCATACATTGTACCATATACGTCGGATCATCCACGTTATATTCATTCCAATACAATCCATACAGCATTACTTCGAGGTATTCGTCTCTGTTCAGACGTAGAAACATTCGAACAAGAACGATTAAATATTGAAATAGCCCTACTCTTAAATGAATATTCACCAAATTTTATCAAACGTCATCTAAAACAATTCTTTAAAAACCATAATGCTATGTCAATCTATCAAGATTTACATACAGAAACCTATAAAAAAACTACATCTACAACTACTTGACGAATCATTAACCCATCATACAGGATCCAATCAACCAGAAGAACAAAAGCAACAATATGTACAAACCAACCAACAATGTCAAACAACCACATCGAAAAAACAACCGGACATCATTATACATTACCAATATGAAAGCGGCCCAGTAAAAACTTTCAATTCAGAATTTCGAAAAATTTGGAAAAAACATTTCTGTTACCCAACATCATCAATTAATAATGTTCGACTCATCCTCGGTACTCGAATCAATAAAACAATCGAAGAATTACTAGTCAACAAGAAACCACCTCGGAATCTACTCCGCAATCTCGATTGCAACTCAATATGACCAAATGTAAAAACATGAAACTAAAACAGTATTGTTATATTTTTGTTATATTTCTTGACATAAACATATTATATCAGTCAAGATATCTGAACATTAAGAGTAAACCTGTAGACTACTCACCACTTTCATCATTATCAAAACAGATTAAGAAAATTTCCATTTCCATTTTAGATAACTATTATACATATACGACAGAGAAACAATGAAAACCCACATAAAATTACAACATCAAATCCACCAAAAAAACATACCATAACAATCAAAACTAATGGAACATACGGGGAACCACAAAACACATAACCAGCAAATGAAAGACCTACCCAATTCAACTAAACCAAAACACAATAACCAACTCTACGATTATAATATGAAACCGACAACCCCCTTCATAAATCTACATAAACAAAAGGGCCAGCTATGCATCAACATGCAACCATACAAGGTAAGACAGAAACTCTCATACAGAGAACAACAGCAACACCCTACAATACAAAATTCAGAAAAACGATAAAGAAAACACAAAACCTACCATAGAGGGAAAACAGACCCAATAGAAACTCAAAAAAAAACAATATCACATATAAAAAGCAAACGAAACATACCAGCCTGAAGTTCAAATAAGAACCAAACACAGTTCATTTCCCAAAAGCAAACGAACCGGCAGCATATATACTACTATATCCTTCATACTAGTTTGAAAAAATTTCCATTAAAAAAAACTCGATACTGAATTCTATAGTCGACTAAGACTATAGTTCTAAATTAATTCTATTTGAAAATTTTACTTGTGCATATGTCTTATATTAATT